TCCTTGCAACATGGGGCCGTGCATTATCATGCTGCAACATGAGGTGATGCAACGAGCCTCAGAGTCGTCACGGTATCTGTGTGCATTCAAAATGCCATCAATAAAATGCACCTGTGTTCGTTGTCCATAACACACGCCTTCCCATACCATAACCCCACCGCCAGCCACTGGATCCACATCAGCAAAACGCTCACCCACATAACACGCTCGCAATCTGCCATCTGCCCTGTACAGTGAAAAACAGGATTCATCCATGAAGAGAATACTTCTCCAAAGTACCACATGCCATTGAATGTGAGCATTAAGCCACCCAAGTCGGTTACGACAACGAACTGCAGTCAGGTCGAGACGCTGATGAGGACAGCAAGCATGCAGATGTAAATGTAAATGCTCCGTACTTGTATAGCGCCTTTCTAGTCTTTTCGACCACTCAAAGCGCTTTTACACTACATCTGCATTCACCAGTCATACACATTCATACACTGAGCCTAAGTGCTCAAACGGAAACTAACATTCACACTCATTCATACGCTGGCGGAACAGCCGCCAGGATCAGGTTCAGTATCTTGCCCAAGGACACTTCGACACGCAACCAGGGGAGCCAGGGATTGAACCGCCGACCTTCCGATTAACGGCCAACCCGCTCTACCTCCGCTCTACCTCCTGAGCCACAGCCGCCCCAACAAGATGAGCTTCCCTGAATAGGTTCCTGACAGTTTGTGCAGAAATTCCTTGGTTATGCAAACCGATTGTTGCAGCAGCTGTCCGGGTGGCTGGTCTCAGACAATCTTGTGTCACGATTTGGTGAACGCAGAGCAGGAGTGTGAGCCCAAACGCAAGATGACACGGTGGTGGCACTGTGGCCTCACAGCAAGAAGGTCGTGGGTTCAAACCCTGGTTGCCCCGGCCTTTCTGTGTGGAGTTTGTATGCTCTCCCCGTGTCTGCGTGGGTTTCCTCCAGGTGCTCTGTTTCCCCCACCATCAAAGACATGCTAGGTTCTTCAGTCAGTGCAATTGACCAGCCACTGATAAAAATCTGGAGTTGGACCCCTGGCACTGCACAGCGGCTGCCCACTGCTCCCTTGAGGGATGGGTTAAAGTGCAGAGAATGAATTTTGCAACATGTTCTTGTATGTGACAATTAAAGTATCTAAAAAAAAAAAGACACCAGAGCCGAGATTCTGTTCAGGGACTTTAATCCAAACAACAGCAATATACAAGGCTTACATGTGGTAGTTTAATCCATAATCCAAGACAGCAGAGAAACAGACAGGACGCTTCACACATGACACGACAGAGCTTATTCACACTACAGTGACCGGACAGAGACTGAACAGAAACACCAGGCATAAATACACACGGACTAACGAGCAGGGCGGGAGCAACACAGGTGACAGGGATCAAGGTCAACGAGGCAGGCAGAACTAACCAGGAAACAGGACAACACTCAACTAGGAACAGAACGGAAAAAAGGAAAAAAAAAAAACACCACTAAACACTAGCTGACAGATAACAACTAGATGAATAATAACCCAGACTAAACAACAGATACCAAACTGATCAATAAGCTAAATAAACTAAAATGTAGATGCAAAACCCAAATCTTAGAATCAAGAACACAGTGGATAAGGGAGACAAGATAACACAGGACAACAGACTAGGATAACAGAACAAAAACAGATTAACACAGAACCAAACCGACAACAAAACGGTAGAGCTCACCATAAACAGACTGGACACACGACAAGACAGAACCCCAAAACACAACAGACCAAAATAACACAATCAACTGACCAAAACTCACGGAGTGCAAAACAGAATGTGACATCTTGGAGGTGAAGATGCTGGATGTGGAGGTCCTGGGCAGGTGTGGTTAAACGTTGTCTGCGGATGGTTGGATGTGCTGCCAAATTCTCTGGGCAACAGCTCTGATGGACATTCCTGCAGTCAGCATGCTAACTGCACACTCCCTCAAAACTTGCGACATCTGTGGCATTGTGCTGTGTGATGGAACTGCACATTTTGGAGTGGCCTTTTATCGTGGCCAGCCTAAGGCCTTTTATTGTGGGCAGCCTTAGGTCTTTTATTGTGGCAATCCTAAGGCACACTTGTGCAACACCCGTGCTGTCTGATCAGCATCTTGATATGCCACACCTGTGAGGTGGATGGATTATCTCGGCAAAGGAGAAGTGCTCACTAACACAGATTTTGACAGATTTGTGAACAATATTTGAGAGAAATAGGCCTTTTGTGTACATAGAGAAAGTCTTAGATCTTTGAGTTCAGCTCATGATGAATGGGGGCAAAAACAAAGTGTTGCATTTATAATTTTGTTTTAAAGTGTTTATAATTTAATAACGTTTTTTTGGCCCTTGTTAAATAAACTGGTAATTCTTCTCCTTCTGTAGGAACCTGATGATCAAGAAGATGTTTTAATGTTTCATCCATCACAGGTTGCCTTCTGTGGCAGAACTGTGCTGATGTGATCCATCGTTTTTCTCCAGAGAAAGAAGACCCCTGAACATGGTGGCAGCGCTAACCTGCTGCTGCACTAACAGGTGAACCAGTCTGAACTTTGACCTTTTGTGTTGATGACCTTTCAAAGACATTTCCTTCCTGTTACCTGGGAGGGATGTGTGACGGGTCCTGGTACCTGTCTAGCTTCAGTCGACACCACAGAAAATGACGTGGCTGATTTGCATCACATGTTAGATCAGCAGCCTCCCTTCCACTGATGGTTGATGATGGGTTTGATGGTCGGGTGCAGAGTGTAGCTCAGGATAACATCCCCAACACCTGTAGAGAGAGAAACTCTGGGACATTTGAAAGACAAAGCACCAAACCTGTGGATGATGTATTTCAGTTTAACAAAGAAGGCAGAGCTGACACTCATCCTCCTTCAGAGAACCAAATGCTGCACTGACGTGAAAGGAAGGAAGTGAAGCTGAAGGCGTCACTCTGCTGTTCAGACTGACTTAACAGTCGACATCCAGACAACATGAAGGCTTCATCTGTGTCTCTGCTCGGTGAGTCCAACACAGAGCTTCTACATCCATCCATCCATCCATCCATGGATATAAACTTGTTGGAAAATTATACACCTGAATAGAATCGAGAAATACTTCGGCGTCTCTGGCCAAGTGCTTAAGTGGTTGAGATCTTAATAATACAATAATATACACATTTTCCGACCCTTCACCACTTCAGCACAGGGTTCAGTCCTTGGTCCACTGCTGTTTATTTTATACTTAGTGCCATTGGGTCAGATCATTCGTTCTTTTGGGATTGCTTTTCATTGCTATGCTGATGATTTACAAATCTATGTGCAAATTATGTTGCAGGAAATGCATCTGATTCAGTTAAGGTTTTGACTTGCTTGGCTGCTGTGAGGAGCTGGTTATCAGCAAATTTATTGCTCAACTCAGCAAAAAATTAGATAATAGCTATTGGACCAGCTAGATTAGAATCATTTGTAAGAAAATTTGACTCTAACCATTGATGATTCAGTCATTCATTGCAAGGAGAGAGTAAAGAATATTGAGGTCGTTTTTGATGGATCACTATCATTTGATTTGCATATTAAAGAAGTGACAAAAGTAGCCTTCTTTCATCTCCAAAGAATCGCAAAGATTAGATCAATATTGGCACTCTTTAATAGAAGTGATAGAAAAAGCTTTTTGCTGAACGCTGCAGTCACATGGTTCATGTCTTCCAACATGAAGCCACGAGGACATCTCAAGTGATAAAGAAGCTTTCTGTGTTTTTATCTTGTTTATCTTGTCTTATTGTTTGTTTGACAGGGAACAGGTTCACTGATCAGCAGCTGATAACAACTGGCAATGAGTTTCACTGCATTTCTGTCCTCCCTGATATAAAGATATTACTTTATAATTCATATATACAACATAATAAATATGCACATGATGTTACTATGCAGCAATAAATAATGCTACGTGCCAACACATGCTAGGTAGCTACAATCCAAAGTAAATAAATAATGCTACGTGCTAACATATGCTAGGTAGCTACAATCCAAAGTAAATAAATAAAAACAAAATGCAAAAATACTATTTTTCACGAAGTGCTGAATCCTTAAAATAAAATATTCCATCGCCTGTCAAACCATAAAAAATTCTACTGAAGTAAAATTACAAAAATATCAAATACACTGAAAGTATTAGTAGTAAAAGTACTCATGATGATATCTGATGTTAGAGCTGGGCCCTGTTTCAGAAAGCAGGTTTAACAAACTCTGAGCTTATCCCTGAGCTCTGAGCTGACTGAGCCTGAGATGTGAAACTCTAAGTTTTCGGTTCCAGAACAGCTGATCAGAATTAGTTCATCAACTCTGAGTATGTTGAGCCTGATAGAAACTCGTGCGTGTGGATGAAAAAAAGCCTCATCAATGGAGCTCCGATATTACGATTCACCATGGCAACGGGTAAAAAATGGCAGAGCCTCCATTTTAAGCAGGTGGAGCTAGAAATATGAATGTGTCCCAACGTGGACTACGATTGGCTCTAAACGCAGGAGAGGAGGATCAATACGTTAACATTTGTAGTATACAGCGTTGCTCAGTCATCGTTTATCACACTGGAAATTCCTTAATGAATGATAAAGTGCTGGAATTTTCCTACAGCCCTTTACATTCATTTTTAAATAGGAAGGCTATGTTTAATTAAACTGTAACCCGACGGGACTAAACGCTGGTGGCGATCGGCAACCTGATTATGAAAGGTATAGGCGTCCCGTCCAGACCGGGTTAGCACTAGCTAGCTACGTTTGTGTAAAAGGTGAAAGCCCCCCGAAGCCCCCTACCCTTACCATAAGCATTAGAAATGTTAGTACCTAAACTTAAGTCACTGACTTTATGCATGTGGACCGGCTAACCCTACAGCTGTGCACATCAACCTCCTGTGTGTTGCTGGGACATAGATGATGAGAGTGTTACGTACAGACGCTGAAGGCTACCTTTAGCGTTAAATCCTTACGCTTTATCACGCTGTCTGAAAGCCCCAGTTATGACGCACTGAGATGACAATGTGTTGGATATTTTCTTTGCACCTCCTCGGGAGGAGGTCCGGTTCACAGCATCATTTGCCAGAGTTACTGATCTAGGGTTTATCTGATTTCGCTCTCTGAAACAGAAAACTCCAGAGTTCACTAATCCCATTTCTGAAACGGGACCCTGGTCTTCAATGAGTCAGGCATGCAGTTAGCTGTTGTGACTGTCTACTGTATATAATGCCAAGTCGACGCCGTTGTCCCGAAGTTTATACCACTATCTTTATTCACCATTCGATCTATTTACCTCTTCAGCTAACTTCTGTACTCCCTATATTTCCATTTCTGTTTTCCATTTTTGAAGTTTTACAAAATAAGGTCCTGCCTTAATGTGTGGTACAACACATTAAATTTACAAGTTTGGACTTCTTTGTATACAGTTAGTTAGATTTACTTAAACTCAAACAGAACAGGCAGATGGTGCCGTTCAAGAATTTAGAAGAAGCATAATGGCTCAAAGGCAGCTACAGACCGCTAAGCGGGAAAGGGACAGGAAGTAAAGTAGATGAGAAAGACATGGAAGGAAAAGAACACAGTATAACAGGAAACAGAATAATGAATGACATGGAAACCTCTAACCTAAAACCCCTGAGTGGGAAGACAGAAAGTCAGCAAGTGAAGTAAATACAAACACAAGAGGAAGGATTTACCAAAATAACACAGGAAATAACCTCACTCAAACCCAAAACCTGGACTCAGACTGATCACTACATAGCTAAAGCCCCCCACTACATTAATCACTTGCGCCAGGCCAAAGACTTGAATAAGCTCCACTGTCGATTTGAAAATCAATGGGAAAGTTCTGACTCTACCAGCTCCACCTATCCCCACCTCAGCAGGGGTCTGGGCCTCTCCACAACGGCCCACCTCAGAGTGTTACTCCCCTAACACAACAACGTCTCTCCATCCTGGAGAGGGATGTCAACAATCTGTTAAAGAGACAGAACCCTCACAAAGCCTATTTTATCCTACTATGTTTATTGTCACGCACCAAATACCCAGAAAGGTTCCTTGTGGGTGAAACCTTTAAGGCAACTAACCTGATTCTGAAGAAGCTTGATATATTTGTCTTCTATCCAAATATGTTTGGAAACAGATAAAATGCTGGGAAAGGTTATCAGACAAGCTAAAAATATAACTTTAATACCTCAATTACCATAGTCAGTTAAACAATTCATATGGAGTAGAAAAGAAAGGTAAAGATGAATCTTTTGCCTTTAACCTAGATTAAAATTAAAAAGCATTTAAATTTCATTTTTCATTTTCAGACAGTTGATGATAATAATTATATCTTTTGAAATGGCTCATGTCATTGGCCACTTCAGTGACCCCTGACCTTCAGTGACCCCTGACCTTCAGTGACCCCTGACCTTCAGTGACCTCTGACCTTCAGTGACCCCTGACCTTCAGTGACCCCTGACCTTCAGTGTGACCCTGACCTTCAGTGACCCCTGACCTTCAGTGACCTCTGACCTTCAGTGACCCCTGTCTTCCTGTTGCAGGTGTGTCTGTGCTGCTGCTGTCTGGACTGACAGGTGAGCTGATGGAAGAGAAAACAATCACTGTCTGTCTGATCAGCTGTCTGATGTTAGCTTGTTTGTATCAATATACATGCACACCAGTACCTCAAACCTCACACTTTAAGCATTCTGACGACAATTTTCTGTATGAATTTTTACAAGACATTATTCAGTCAGTAAAAAAGTAATGGTTTGGCTTTAGTTATGGTTTCTTAAACATAAGTTTATGAGGCATTTTATGGGGCCTAATGTAAATGTCAGCCTTAACCTAATGGTAAGCCTCCCTCTGGGTGTAGTGGCAGGCGCTGCTTGATAGTGCAGTGCACCTGATTATTGTAGCTTCACTCAACACCACACCTGCTTCTACATCTAACCTGAAAAACCTTCAACTGTCAGACACAGTCATCTATGCCTGCAGCGACCATGGGGGTGGAACAAAGAACAAGACACAAGTTCAGAGAGAAGTGGAACTCCAACAGCAAGGTGGATTCTGTAGACGAGGGCAGAACACGTATGTTAGAGGTCACATGTCCACAGGTTAACAACAGACTGCAGAAGGTCGATCACATGACCTGTACCAACATCTGGATGAAGTGATGTCGCTTCTTCCTCATTTAAAAACTGGAATCAGTCACACTGATGGTTTTTGCTGTCAAACAGCTCGGTGGACTCAATAGTTTGTTCTGGATTCATCAAACATGAAGTGGAGCTTTAAGGAGGTCGTTCAAGGTCATGTGAAGGTGTTGTGTTTTCTGTTACAGCCATTCAACATAGACACATGTTGACCGTTGGGGTGATCAAATCAGAGAGTAATTGCGTAACTTTTGTTGTTTTCTAGAAACTAGATCAAGGTTCCATAACTGTCCATGTTTGCACGTCCAACCGGGAGACAAACAACGACAGGCCATGGTGTAGAGATCAGGGCCGGTATTAATCAAGCTTCTCAAAGTGCCATTTTAGTGTTAAGAATTTGTGAAATTTACTCCTACTGTCAGTAAAGCGTTTTCAGCTAAACTGAAGGTTGTGATGACACAGGACAAACGCAGCAATGCAGATGATCTGAGATTTGCATCCACCTCTTTTCTCAGCATAAATGAGCGATACCTCCCGCGAGGTACTTACAATTCTTAGCAGGCATGCAGAATTTAGCACAACACCTTCTTCCGTGGAGTAGTAGGTGCAACGGATGGCAGAGTAATTCTGAGAAGCTTGATAAATACGGCCCTGGTGTTGACAGCTGGATTGGTACCTCGGGTCATTGGCTGAAAGTATTTTCTCTGTTTCTCTCACACTTCTTAGCGGGCTTTTGGTCCTTCAGTCCTCTGTTTCTTCTGTTTCTTCTGTTTCATCTGGTTCTTCTGGTTCTGGTCCTGGTTGGAGTTCTGTTGCTCCGCAGGAATCAAACAGGTATGAAAGCTGTCAGACTCACCTGATGTGAACAGACTGGAACCAGACTGTGTCTGATCCAGTCAGCAGGTCTGTACTGAACTACAACCTGGGACTTGTTGGACTCCTGACTCCCAGAGCTTTCAGCCACTTCTCATGGTCTTCATCAGCTCATGGCGTTTGCTTGGTAGTTCTGGAGATGCTTCAGGTGTGGTCATGTGAGGTACAGACCCTCAGTCCCATGGTAACAGCTGCTTGTATATGGGGGGAGATGTGATGTACCTGTAGGTCACATGATGACACCTGAGCCAACTCCATTTACTGATGAACACCATGAGATGCTGCTGAAAGCTCAGTTAGATATTTTCCACTAACTGTTTATATATTTGAATACAAAGTTAACCTGCTGACCTCTGACCTTTAGTAAACCTTGTTCTCCTGTTGTAGGTCTGGCTGTGCTGACTGCTACAGGTGAGCTGATGGAAGTCTGTCTGTCTGTCTGTGTATTAGTGATGGACCGGTACCTGAACTCAGGAAGCCGATATATCATAGCAGCTCTAATCTAACAGCATCACTGGCTGGTGTTAAGTATATATAGTTATACTGTAGAGAATGAAGCAGCTGAATTACGTCACTTTTGACAAACTGAACCGCGCTCTCCCTTAAACACCAGCCACGTTCTGAAATCTACAGCAGAACCCAAAGTATGTTTCTGTTTCATTCATTAATAAAACTTCCATCTGAAACACGTTATTGCTGAGATATCATGAATATTAGATTGGACTCTGCAGGAATAATGAATTTTACATGACTTTGTCTTTCTTCTTTTCTTTTTCTTATCTTGTTTATTTGAGACATGGCTAAAGGAAAGCTCTCCCTCAGCAGCATCAAAAGTGCATGGTTTTAAGAGTTACAGGAAAGATAGAGTGGGCTCAAAGGGATGCAGAGTTATGAGTTATGTAAAAGATAAAATCCAGTGTAATGTAATCCGGTGGTTAAACTGTAAGGAGCTGCAGCCTGTTGCACCAACGATACTTAGTTCTACCTTAAGTTTCGGTGCACACTAAACAATACGTTGAAACTAGTTAGTTTGAGACTTAAGCTGTGTTGATGTTTGGTTGCACCACCGAGATATAAGGTGCATCTTAGCTACTTTGGTGTAAAGTCCATACTAATCATCCCATGGCCAATCAGTGAACAGCACTATTCTTTTAGTTTTATTCAGTTTATTACGGTTTTGTCATCTGTTTGTCTCTCTCTCTTTCAATGTTTTGCAATATTGAAGAGAAAAAGGTACGTATACAAGGAAAAATAATTATGATAGGTGATAACTATGAAACCTTAATCTACAGCTAGTCTCACAGAGACATTGAGTGGTAAAACCGTTAACTACAACATAGACGTAATTTCACGGGTGCCCGTAATGAACGGTGAAGTATAACGGGCAGAGGAAATTGTAACATTACAACTTATATACGCGTAGGAGCCATCATTCCCCTCATATTTCAAAATCTATGTTTTGTCCCCCCACCCCACCCCCCCACACACACTTTTCTCCAGCAATTTCGGAGTTGGGTAGGTGAGGTTTACTATGAGTGGCTAGTCAATCAGTCACTCCACATCAGACATAATTAAACGGTTGAAACCCTGACAAAAATCGTGTAAGTTAGGCCTATAGAAAACTTCCGACACAACGCAAAGGAGATGCTGAAAAGTTAAGGGAGAAAAAATTCGAGTTTGCAGGAGGCAGCTAAGTGCCTCTATATTACAGACTTTTCTTCTGTGCTGCTGTTATTACAGCCTACCTGAAGACAGCAGTGAGGGCACCTGCAGCAGGGTGGGGAGTAACTTGTTACAAGTAACGCAAATTTGCAAAATAAATAAATAAAAATAAGTCATTGCCTTTTCACATTCCTTTATTTATATTTTTACTCTTTAATCCAATATTTTCTTTGGGCTAGTAATCAACTCTTAATTCTGTTACATTTTCAATTCATACCTTCATAACTTAACCAGTCTGTGATCTGCATTTTGCTTCATTAACCGAAATGAGCTGTCATCCAGGCTGTGTGTGCTCGGTTCTTATTGTAATCTAACGGCCTCCTTCTTCCAATAGTAGTTTCTACTAACTCCACTAGGACACAGATTGATTTAATATTTAGTAACAGACCTGAAAACTAACCAGTAAGTGATCAGCCCTTTTGTCACTGAATATGAATTTCTTGGAATCCCTAAAAACAAACAGGAGCAGTTCAAAAATGCTGTTCAGCAAATTAAACAGACTAATCTACTGATGGAAATACATGGTGAGGAAGACAGTCAAACATTCACAAAACCAATGGAGAGCACTATTAAAGATAGCTGACAGCTAAAGAGAAAAAAAAATGAACAGTACATTTAGGTACAAAAGATCCAAAAGCACTGTCTCTTAGATAAATGCAGATATTTTAAAACTAAGAAAGGAACGGGAGCTTGCCTTAATAACTGCAATTAAAACTAAATTCAGAAATGACAGACAACACTTTGATGCATTACCGAACAATGTGGTAAAGAAATTAAGATACATAAGGCAAATCTTTTCTGGTCAAAAATAGAAAGAGCAAAGGGAAACTCTAAAATTATCCTGAACCAGTTAAAAAATTACCATAAAGAAGTGAAGCTGCTTGACCTTAAAGTAAATGACAAGCTTACAAATCCTTATTAGATATAGGTGGTGTTGTTGGAGCTGTGTTTTTTGACCGTAAGAAGGCTTTTGACACTGTTAATCACACAATTTTCATGTCCAAGTTATGTAGACTCAATTTTTCTTCAGATTCACTCAAGTGGCTAGAATCATATCTACTAAATCAATGTCCAAGTACAGAATCATCAATCAGCTGGCCTTCATTTGTTGACAGCTGTCCCACAAGGATCTATTTTGGGTCAATTACTATTTACATTATATATCAACATCCAAATGTATGCAGATGACACTGTAATTTATCTACATGGTAGCAGTAGGACAGAAGTTACTAATGGACTTACAACTTCCATGGCTCATGTAACAGCATGGTTGCAGCGATGAGTGAAAAACTATGTGCATGTCTTTCTCTAAGACAAACAGTTCCGGTGTAGAGCAAGATATCTTTGTATTAGGGGAAAGGCTACAGGTCGCATCTGAGTACAAGTATCTTGGAATCCTGATTGATTCCACACTCTCCTTCAAACCTCAGGTGAAAAGGGTCTGTAACAGTGTCAAAGGGTCATATGGAAGACTATAAGAGGACAGTTCTCTTCCACACAGTCACTTTGTTACTACAAAAACAACTGTGTATCATTGCACAAGAGGGTCAGCAGAAAGAGTACTTTCAATAAAACTGCATTTTCTGTTAAAGCTGCATCAGAATAAAAATCCATCCCAACTGCAATCAGAGAATTGGATACATACAGCTCATTTAATTAATAATAAAACCTGTGTAAATAAATGGTTAATCAGTCCTCAGCTATGTCAACACTGAAACTGAAGTTGCATGTTGCTGTCCTTAGTCTGTTGTTGCCACTTGCATTTTTACTGCCATTCTGCCCTGAATTGCTTGCATGTATGTATGTGTGTATTTGTGACTTTGTTTTTTTCTGGGTTGGTCACATGTATACTATGCGTGGTGCTATGTTCATACTTGACACCTGTCAGTTCTTGTCTGTGTACGTACTCATTGTATTGCTGCCCTTACTAGTGTGTATTGCCACTTGTAGATCTTGTGCTGTATTGATTCTTTGTTGATGCTTGTATGTTGTTCCTCAAATATAACTTGCTTTGGATAAAAGCATCTGCCAAATGAGAAAATGTAATGTAAATTATGAGCTATGGGTTGCACGTTGAATATCTTGTAATAGTCTTTAAAGTATATGAAGTCCATGGAGAAGTATATCAGTACAGTGTCTGCTTTTTTAAATCTCATTTTGTTGCATGCTTTCATAATGAATGACTTTTTAAAATTAATGTTATAATTGTTTTTTAGGTTGACTATGTAACAATTGTCCAGGGACTACAGATGAAAAATAGTCTTTTGGCTAACTCTGGCGCATTTGCATTTATGCTTATTAATGTGCACTGCCCCTGCTATGTTAAAATGATTAAATAAAATAAAAAATAAACCTTCTCCTTCTCCTGTTGTAGGTCTGGCTGTGCAAACTGCTGCAGGTGAGCTGATGGAAGTCTGTCTGTCTGTCTGTTGACCTCTGACCTTTAGTGACCTCTGACCTTTAGTGACCTCTGTCCACCTGTTGCAGGTGCGGCTGTGTTGCTGTGTGGACTGCTTGTTTCTGCAGGTGAGCTGATGGAAGTGAATTATTTCTAAAAAGATCCAGAACAAGTTGAACAGCAGCAGGAGGAGAAAGAAAGAAATAGGAGGATTTCATAAACTTTTTTGTTTATATAAAATCAAGCATTACAGTTATCGGTAATACAAGCAATAGCATACAGTTGAGCTTACAGATCTCACATTAAGTATCTTGCGGAAAGTCAGATTAGGAACACGAGACCACAATGAATGACATTTGGTTCTTCATTTGTTTGTTGATACTTCTGTGTGAAATGAACATAAAATAAAGGTATAAATCTGTGTTGATGAGGTGATTCCACCAAACTGTCCAGACCCAGACAGTCCAGAATATATCAGTGTTAACACAACTATATCATTCTTTACATTTCTATTTTATAATTATGATTCTTGACTTTTACAGTCCTTGTTTTTTATTTTCTCTCACTATGTTTATTGTTCTGCACCAAAAAGACAAATTCCTTGGATGTTGAAAACCTACTTGGCAACAAACCTGACTGTGATTCTTGTTCTCCTCCGTCAGACTCCTCTCTGTCTGTGCTCAGACTCTGCTGCCATCTAGTGGTCTTCTGTCCATACGGCGTCTCTACTGGTCTGATGCTGTCCATCTGCTGCAGCAGGAAGACAGGAAACAAACCAGCCGTCTCCATGGAGATGACCCAGCGGGTTGGAGGAAGTGACGAATTTGATGGCGATTACAATGACATCACTGCTGATGTCACCACTGAGCACGCCTTCTGAGCTGTGAACAGAGTGACAGCAGCTGTCTTTAAAATGGACTCTGATCAATAACATGATGGATCTGAAGATGAGAGTTTCTATCATCTGCTCTTATGGAGATGCTGCTGGAGAGCATTGTCTTACACGTTGCTCCAGAATCTTCCACAGGTGTGAAACCGGGTTGAGATCTGGTGACTGTAAAGGCCGCAGCATTTTATTCACATCATTTTCATCCTCACCAAAGCGTTCAGTGACCCTGCTGCACGAAGCATCTGCATCTGATGTTCCTCCTCTCTTTGATTCAGCTTCTTCCTTTCATTTGTCCCCGTCTGTTTGTGGTAGAAGCCCTGCTTTTTGGTAGATTTGCTAAAACCCCCTCAGCTCCATTGTAGAAAAGGAGGAGGAGTTCTGAGGGAAGTCAGATCTTTGAAGACCTTTTGGACCTTCTAGGTCTTTCAGAGCTCTTTTCCTTTTTGCTCAGACCTTTTGTCAGCTTTTACATTTCTGCAGCCTTTTCAGACTCAGGAATTCTGTTTGGTTTCTTTCCTCTTTTTATTCTCTTCTATCTCAAAGTGTTTCTGGACGTAGGCTTTGTTTGTTTTTAAGCTTTGCTAAATAAAACCAGGTAGATCATTTTGATCTGTTGAAAGGTTGATGATTCTCTGGACCTGATCCTTTCATCCCCTCATCCAAGGCTTCCTTCACAACATTTCAGTAAGGCCCCTTGTTTTCTAACAAGTCTCTAAAATGTCAGGAATGCTAATCTCTGTTCCTCAAGAGAGGGAGCAGCTGTAGAGGTGTTAGGACAGGAACCTGAGGCAGAGGAGAAGCCTAGTGCGAGGGGGAAGCCCTCTTCGGTCCTCTGCTTCTCTGTCAGATAATCATATTCTCTTATTTGACAAATATGCAACATTCACTGCCACTAAATGTCGCACTAGAGCAGCAGCATCTCAGACCAGAACAGATGGGCGCTACGGCTCCGAGGTCTGGGATCAGATCTACAAGTGTCTGAAGAGATGCATGATGAACATCAACAATGACAACGAGCTGACGAGCGACATCAAACGGATCGAGCTACAGCTGAAGAACTCCACGGTGAGGGACGGCACATGTCGTCTCAGGCTCTGAAGGCCTGGGTGAACGGGGCGGCCTTCCACATCCAGATGCTGATCCACCTGGTGAGACTCAGAGGGATTAAATCCTGAGACCCTGTACAGAGACTCCACTCTGCTTACCTGAGAGACCTGGACCTGCTGTTCAACAAGCACAGAGAGGTGATAGAAGGAAAGTGCAGGATGAGATGGAGGATATTTTTCATCCCCCAGAAAGGCTTCTAGATATCTGATGAAAATGCAAAGTGGCACTACATTCATCTTTTCGACAAACATAAATATCATGAGGTTAATTATGATCACAGGTAAGGCCAGCAGAAGCGTGAGATTCAGCAGTACTTGAGTGATGTAAAAAAAAAAAGAACCTGCAGGAGCTGGTTCATGAAAGAGGCTCCTTTAATGTAAACTGAGAGAGAGGCTGATGGATCTGAAGAGATGAACCACATGGCCACAAGGATGTGACAGTTGAACATGTAGTTCAAGAACCAGGACTTTTTAGCACAGGGGCATTTTCATCAGGGCTGTAGTACTCAAGTCTGGTCCTGGTCTTTAGACTTATGTTTTATTTATCTTGGAGATGTCTCTTGTTTGTTTCGTCCAGGACTGGAAATCTGACGTGTCAAGTCAGAGTTCTAAAAGTTAGATTGGTTCATCTTGGTCTCATGGTTGTTTTGACTCTCGTTTTTTCTCGGACTTGTAGGTCTCTGTAACATTTTTGAAGAAACTGGCAGATGTGAACCCAGAAGCAAGAAGAGACAGGGATTACACAATAAAATGCAGTCAAGGGTCAGAAAACTGGGTGATCTGTCAAATTTAGGCAACCAAATCCAAAAGGGCAGACAGATAAGAAACTACCACTCCAACAAAGAGGCGGCAGACAGTCAAGGCCGGTGCCTCGTCGATGAGTTGGGAGGTGGTGAGGAAAGGTTAGACACAGGTCTATAGTTGGCCTGGATTTTGATCATATCTAGTATGTAAGTACTGACTTTCTTTAAGCAGCCTAGTTGGGATGGCTAGGGAAATGACAGTATTGATCCTGGTTGGATCGTCTCAGGCCACAAACTCATCCATTATGTGTTTACTAAGACCACTTAGACCCCCCCTGTAAAGCTTCCTTATTCCACCCTGAATCTGCCCATACAGTCCTGAACTCCACTGAATATTTAGCAAACACTACAAATACCTTGCTGGAGTAATGAAGGCTTTGGGTCACTTTCCTTCCCAACATCCACTAAATACTGGGAGGCGGAGTCCACTGAGTTCACGGTGGTCAGATAGTTCTGTTACGTTTTCTCAGCAAGCAAAACAGGAGGCAGGGGAGCTGGTGATGATCCTGGAGCACAGAGACAAGAGAATGTCATGGGACTACCCCATGCCTTCATTTCAGGAAGCGGTAGCATTGGTCTTAGCATGCTAAGCTAACCTTAGCTGAGCATTAGCATTACTTTTAGCATATGGGCTAGCATCAATGGACACATGGCTTGTCATTTTATGTCATTTCATTTCAGTTCATTTAAGTACTAGTCGAAAGAGTTGAAATCATGATTGGATAAATACAACACATGCACAGCTCATTTCAAGTCATTTACTTTAGTTTATATGTTTCAGCCACCTGTTCTCATCCTCAAGCAGGGATCTGGGTCGAAGTGGCCAACAGGAAGTGATGGTGTGAAGAATAATTTATAGGGGGGAAGACCTGGAATGGTCCAAGTGTGAGCCAGTACAGACGGGTGTACTGGAGTACCTTAAGTTGCTGTTTTGAGACGCTTTGTTCAGCATGTAACATTTCATTTCTGGTTTTATAGTTGATATATTGTGTATTGATGTAGCCAGAAATGTTTTGGACGGTTGAGGTAACATAATGGTGTTCAATTGATTTCCAATTAACTTTGGTTTGTCTTGTAGAAGGGGCTTCTGGTATAAAGGAAGGAGGCAGAGGCTCTTCTTGGCAGAACAGCTTTGGCCTGGAAGGGCACATGTGCTAGAGCCCAATAGTCAGGGCCTTTTGTGTGGTTTAATATCAGTTTGTAATGATAATTTGAATAGTTTGTACATAGTTTCCTCATTTGTTATTGATATATTTTTGCAATAATTCACATTTGCACTACTGCACTTTCCACGTGTCTGGTGAAGAAATAAACTGAAGCACCAGGTGAAGAACTCCTGAGTCCATGTCTCCTCCTTCCACCATGGGGCTAAACATTACAGGGAACATGAGGCAAAAAGACACAAAAGATAATGAGTTAATCCTGCTGAGGCTGTACAACTAGAACAAAAGTGTCTTCTGGGACAGTCCAGTCAGTAAGTAGCTTCTCACTTAGTTTAACCTGTGTAAGAAAGAGCTGCAACATTATAACAGATAGAAAACCTGCAGCAGCGTTGTGTGGTCTCACACAAAAACAGCACTGTTGTTGTGTCGCATTGTTGAGCTCAGTGTTATTGTACTTGCTCAGAGTCCTGATGTTGTGTTGAGAATGTGGTTAAATCCAGATGAAGGCGTGAAGTGAAGATATAAAAAGCCAAAGTGAGTCAGAGAAACATTTTCACACTCTGTGGTTCAGCTGTTCAAACATGTTGTCATGGTTTCAAAAGTCAGATCATATTATCAATAACTGCAGTCAAAGTGAAGCTGCTGCTGATACAACTCAGCCTTTTGCTCTGTATTTTTGTTCCGAATAAGATTTTTCTGTTAGTACACCGAGTAAACTAACACGCAGTATGCAGATGACCTGTTTTTTCTTTTCAATTTTATTATTTATATTTTACTCTGCACTGTCATTTTTACTGTCCTGTTTTCGGTATCTAGAATCAGATATTCTTTGCTTTTGAAACTCAGTTGGTTTCTCCTCTCTTATAAGTAGTCAGGCCAGGTCTCAACAGGGCCGAGTAGAGCTGAAAGTTTTTTTCGACTGTTTTTACCAAGATTGTAGTGTAAACAATCTGGATCCAGTGACAATCGTTAATAAGAGGAAATAAATATTATACAAAATACCTGTCGCTGCAGCTTCCGCTACATAGCCAAAATGGTGACCATCGAGGGTTAAAAGTGTCCAGGGACCTCCCAAAGGTGAAGTTGTTCATTTGCACCTCTTCTGGAGGACACCAAGCAGAACTTTATGATCAGTCGTTGTCTGAAATCAGGACACTAACTAAACTAGCCAGCTAACATCTAGCAACACCAATGAAACTCTATTCCTTTCTGGACTGGTAATGTACTGGGCATTACATAGCTTCACATAGGTTATCTTCAAAGTTAACTTGGCTAAGCACAGGACTGATGTGTTATTCATTAACGTTTTGCCGTTGTGATCATTGTTAATGAGTTTCTAACCACAGTTCTCAGCCACTGTTAAATTGGTTACAGATGTTATGCTTCATACAGTCTTTGCACGCTAATTCCTTTTAACTTGGCAACGTTAGACACAATCACAAATTGCCGTAAACAACAACAGATATGCAGGAGGAAACTTTGACCACATGTGCTTATGTTCTCACCCCCAACACTGTCCTTATCAGACATGCAGATCTTTTTTCTTCTTTTTGTCTTAGTTACATCTTGAGTGTTTTTGCTTTGTTTATCTTGTAAATAAATGCTTGTCTATATACACGCTGGTTTCTTTTAATATTGCATAAGAGTGAATATCTTGCCAACTTCCTCCACGTAGAACTCCAAATCCTTCAACCCATTATCTATTAATGGTAATTTTGTTATAGTTATAATTAACCAAAAGTCAAAATAGTTTAGTAGGCTACAATGAGAATGAATTAGATAATATGCTACAAATTGTCTCGTTTCCAGAGTGGTGTCCTGAATTGAATATAACTTTCTACGTACACTGAACAAAATTATAAATGCAACACTTTTGTTTTTGCCCCCATTAATCAAGAGCTGAACTCAAAGATCTAAGACTTTCTCTATGTACACAAAAGGCCTGTTTCTCTCAAATATTGTTCAAAAATCTGTCAAAATCTGTGTTAGTGAGCACTTCTCCTTTGCCAAGATAATCCATCCACCTCACAGGTGTGGCATATCAAGATGTTGATCAGATAGCATGGGTATTTGCACAGGTGTGCCTTAGGCTGGCCACAATAAAAGGCCACTCTAAAATGTGCAGTTTCACTGTATTGGGTGGTCCGGAAACCAGTCAGTATCTGACCACCATTTGCCTCATGCAGTGCGACACATCTTCTTCACAGAGTGGATTGGGTTGTTGATTGTGGCCTGTGGAACGTTGGTCCACTCCTCTTCAATGGCTGTGCGAAGTTGCTGGATATTGGCAGGACTTGGAACACACTGTTGTATACGCCAATCCAGAGTATCCCAAACATGCTCAATGCTGACCATGCAAGTACTGCGATGTTTTCAGCTTCCAGGAATTGTGTAAAGATCCTTGCAACATGGGGCCGTGCATTATCATGCTGCAACATGAGGTGATGGTCGTGGATGAATGGCACAACAACGAGCGTCAGAGTCGTCACAGTATCTGTGTGCATTCAAAATGCCATCAATAAAATGCACCTGTGTTCGTTGTCCATAACACACGCCTTCCCATACCATAACCCCACCGCCAGCCACTGGATCCACATCAGCAAAACGCTCACCCACACAACACACTCGCAATCTGCCATCTGCCTTGTACAGTGAAAAACAGGATTCATCCATGAAGAGAATACTTCTCCAAAGTACCACACGCCATTGAATGTGAGCATTAAGCCACCCAAGTCGGTTAC